AAGACTAAATGTTATTTAAATATTCAGTATTACTTATTTTAATGATTTACAGATGATTAACAAATTTAATGTCTAGATTAATAATCTAAGAGTTTTGAATAAATTTTTTGCCAAGCATTTTTCAATTAATCAAGAAAAAAAAATAAATATTGAGATAATAAGTGGATACTCATTAGTTTTTAATTTTAATGATTCTATAAATAAAACAAATATTGAGAAATCAAATCATTTTTAATTTCTTATTTAATAAAAAGCTTCAATTTTTATTATATCAAGCGCTGAATGAACTGTATTATTTATTAGAATAATTTTCCTATATTTCCACTTCTGTTAAATAAAATCAGTCATAGATCATTTTGAATTATTTAATAAAAGACAATATTTCAATTTATTCAACATATTAATCTTCAAATTATATAGTAATAACTCTTTGCGCTAATTACTAAAATATTAATTTTTTTATATTATTGTAAATAATATAAACCTCTAAATTATACCATCGTGCAAATTCTAAGTCCCAAACTCTTAACTTTAATGTATTCAATTCATAAGTTTAAAACAAATCAATTATAATTGATCTACCTATAAGGCAAGCCCAAAATCCTTTATGCCCATTTACATTATAGATAGAATCTCTCAAACATAATGATTATATCTATCCTTCAGGATAATAATTCATTTATCTTGAACTTATTAGAGCACCATTATTTAAATTCAACACATTAGTATAACCTCCTCGAATTATTGATTTGTTTATTTTGTCTTGAGGTTGACAACATCCTCCAATCACAATTAATTCTAGTATTATGACTATTACAAATTACATTAATTATTGTTATACTATTTATATAAGTAATTAATTCTACAAATAAACTAGATAGGTGGTATTTTGAATAAAATCTTTTGCTAAGATAGATTTTTGAAATATATTTTTCATTCGAGTTTTTAACTCATAATAGTAAAAACTTTAAATAAACAATTGGATTGTAATTCAAATTTAATCTTCTTCATTGTTTAATATTATGAATCTCTAATGCTAAAACTACACTACACATAAAGCTAATAATATTTAGTAAATTAAAATTAAAAAATGAAAGACAAGCTAAATTAAAATAGAATATCATAATTATTCAAATTTTGTTTAATGAGTTATTATAAAACAAATAGATCAAGAGAAAGTTAAAGTAATTTAATTGAATTTATTTATATTTATTTTAATATGCATTCATAGACAAAAATTATGTATAGAGGAATCGAAAAATAATCTTATCTTTTAACTTTAAACTAATAATAATGAGAGTTTTTTCAAAATATAAAATAATGATTTGAAATATCAATTAATCAAGATTTTGATTAGATACCAAGTTTATTTTTAACATAATTTAATTACATTATCATACTTATTAGCTCTGTTGGATGCAATATCAATTCTCAAATGTATAATATTATATTACAATTAATGATTTAATAATATATAAAATTTAATTCATTCCAACAAATTCAAAGTCCACTGATTTAATATTGATAATCATTACTTGAGCTAGGAGTTGTTAGAACTCAAATAGTGATTAAAATAACAAATTGATAATGAATGCAATAATTATTTACAGGAAAATACTATTACATATTACTCTAATTATAATTAATAGAAAATTAATAATTATTTTTAATTTAAAAACTATTCACTAAAGTTGCAAAAGTTAAAATTTTTTACAATTAATATTAGTATTATTTAAAATAATTATTGGTATATTGATATGATTAAGAAGTTAGGCATTTTTCATTTCAAATCGAATTATTAATGATTATTATATGATTAGTTTCTACCAAAATATGATGATGTAAATTGCTTTAAGATTACTTTAGAGGAAACTTCTAAAAATCATATATGAAATTAATGATCATTGTATTCTCATAAAGTAATTATTTTGAAATAAAAATGGACATTCCAATTCTATTGATTTATATGGCATACTATTATTGAGTAAAATAAATATGATATTTTAAAGGATCATTTAAGAATTGGTCTACCTTCTTAATAACATTTTACGATAAACCCTAAGTATGAGTTGTAGTAAATATTAATTTTTTTATATTATTGTAAATAATATAAACCTCTAAATTATACCATCGTGCAAATTCTAAGTCCCAAACTCTTAACTTTAATGTATTCAATTCATAAGTTTAAAACAAATCAATTATAATTGAATTACCTTAATTACAACCCCAATATCCTTTCTGCCAATTTACATTATAGATAGAATCTCTCAAGCATAATGATTATATCTATCCTTCAGGATAATAATTCATTTTTCTTGAACTTATTAGAGCACCATTATTTAAATGCAACACATTAGTATAACTTCCTCGAATTATTGATTTCTTTATTTTGTCTTGAGGTTGACAACATCCTCCAATCACAATTAATTCTAGTATTATGACTATTACAAATTACATTAATTATTGTTATTATATATATATAAGTAATTAATTCTACAAACAAACTAGATAGGTGGTATTTTGAATAAAATCTGTTGCACATATAGATTTTTGAAACATATTTTTCATTCGAGTTTTTAACCCATGATAGTAAAAGCTTTAAATAAACAATTTGATTGTTATTCAAATTTAATCTTCTTCATTGTTTAATATTATGAATCTCTAATGCTAAAAAACTACACTACACATAAAGCTGATAATATTTAGTAAATTAAGATTAAAAAATGAAAGACAAGCTAAATTAAAATAGAATATCATAATTATTCAAATTTTGTTTAATGATTTATTATAAAACAAATAGATCAAGAGAAAGTTAAAGTAATTTAATTGAATTTATTTTTATTTATTTTAATATGCATTCATAGACAAAAATTATGTATAGAGGAATCGAAAAATAATCTTATCTTTTAACTTTAAATTAATAATAATGAGAGTTTTTTCAAAATATAAAATAATAATTTGAAATATCAATTAATCAAGATTTTGATTAGATACCAAGTTTATTTTTAATATAATTTAATTAAATTATCATACTTATTAGCTCTGTTGGATGCAATATCAATTCTCAAATGTATAATATTATATTACAATTAATGATTTAACAATATAAATTTAATTCATTAAAATAAATTCAAAGTCCACTGATTTAATATTGATAATCATTACTTGAGCTAGGAGTTGTTAGAACTCAAATAGTGATTAAAATAAAAATTGATAATGAATGTAATAATTATTTACAGGAAAATACTATTACATATTACTCTAATTATAATTAATAGAAAATTAATAATTATTTTTAATTTAAAAAATATTCACTAAAGTTGCAAAAGTTAAAATTTTTTACAATTATAATGATTATTATTTCAAATAATCATTAGTATATTGATATGATTAAGAAGTTAGGCATTTTTCATTTCAAATCGAATTATTAATGATTAATAATGATTAGTATTTATTTCTACCAAAATATGATGATGTAAATTGCTTTAAGATTACTTTAGAGGAAACTTCTAAAAATCATATATGAAATTAATGATCATTGTATTCTCATAAAGTAATTATTTTGAAATAAAAAATGGACATTCCAATTCTATTGATTTATATGGCATACTATTATTGAGTAAAATAAATATGATATTTTAAAGGATCATTTAAGAATTGGTCTACCTTCTTAATAACATTTTACGATAAACCCTAAGTATGAGTTGTGGTAATTGATGAGTTGAAAAATAGATAGGGTGTAGAAATTAATCTTAAATAATATAAATTATATAAATGTGATGATTCAACTTATATTTCACACTATCAATTAAATGAATTTATCTGGTCTATGGAAACAAGCAGGTGATGCATTGATAGGATTGTAACTCATATAATGAGTTGAGTTATCTTTCATCTTGTTTACTCTAAAGAAATTGGCATATATGGGTTAGGTAAACATAGAAATAGGCAATTCAATATGAGCATTCCATGCAGTAGGTGTGACAAATTCAGCAAAATAGGTAATCTCATCACATTATCTATAAGTAGTTATTAAATTGGAGCAAGTTCCATTAGGATTGCCTATCGTTGCATAGAACAAAGCTCCATTAGGTGAAATTTCAATTTCTAAATATTCTGTTTTAGTCCCAATGAAAATTTCATCGACATCATGTTTATATAATGGATCATTACACTTTGTTAGATGAGCATCAATGAATCTAAAATAAAAAGGAGATAATACGAATCAACATTGAAAAAATCAATGACTAGTTTATGATTCAAAGACTTGCAAATTGTGAAATAAGTGAATTCTA